AATAACATCTATATGTTGATACATGTTCAATGCAAAAACTGACAAATCTGCCAAAGTTTAGTAAAGCATATTAGAATTAAAATGAATTGATCCTGGGCCCTCCCTGGTGGCGCAGCAGGTTAAAGCACAGCACTAAGAAGCTAAAAGCCACTTTCGCATGAGTTCTATCCCCACCTAGCCCGGAGGTGACCACATGGCGCGGCAGACCTCTCCTGACCCACCCGCTGCTCCCCTCAGCAGTGTATTTCGTCGATCTGCCTGTTCTGTTCCCCACTCTGTCTCTGGTGAATCTTCTCACTGCCCCTGCACCTCTAGCCTGCACCCCAGCTCTGTATGCATAAATAAATAAATCTTTTTTTAAAAAAATGAGTTGTTCCTGAAAAATGAGTTATTTAACTGCTAACACAATGGAAACCACTTAGGGACAGCATTCTCTCTCTCTCTCTCTCTCTCTCTCTCACACACACACACACACACACACACACACTTATTATTTCTTAGTAGAAAGTTAAGTGTGGCTATGTAAAAGACCTTAAAAATATTTATTCTGACAGGGAAAAGAATGATTATTGTATTATTGGAATATAATAGAATTTAATTATTTTTTTAAAATATTGAGTTAAAATGACTATCAATCTGAGGACAGAGAAGTTATTAGAAATACAGAAGGTTTCATTCCTGAGTAAGAAGCATAAGGATAAATGCTTCTGAAACTGAGTAAAGCAAGATCCCCTCCTCATTTTTGCCTTAGAATCATTTCTGCATATTTAAGCAAATTCCCATTTTCTTTCTACATCTCTGCTTTTTAGGGAACCCTCCTTTTGAAGCCAGAGTACTCAAAAGTTCTGGAAAGTTCCACTAGTTACTTTGATATAGAAGCTCATACCAACTCATTCACTTGTGACAATGAACAGCGTGATTAAAAACAAACATTCACAACACCCTTGAAATGCAGGAGACACAAAATAATAATAATAATAATAATAATAATAAACAAAGATAAGTAATCCTGTCAGCGTTTTCCAGTAAATTCTTTATCGACCCATCACTATTGTAAAATCTGAGGCAGAGACCCTGAAAGAATATAAGAAATGCCAGAATCTCCTGACTTTTTATAATTCATGCATTTTAAAATTTAGAAACTAATTTTAGCACTTCTAGTTATGCATTTAATACGATTTTAGCAAAATATTTCTTGCCAAAGTGTCATTGTCTTCGAGTTACTAAGATAATAAAAAAGCAGAGACTTACAAGGATTTTTATACTTGAGACATAATGAGTTTTTTTCAGAAGCATTTTGCATTTTGCAACCTAACTTCAATCTCCTGTTTAAGGAATATTTTATATAACGTGTAACAGAAAACAATGTAGAAATGATATATCACTCTGCTCTGTGTTCTAACAGTATTTTGAATATACTTCACGATTTTTTTTTACTGTTTTTCATGTCATTAAGCCTATGACAACACACTTTCATTGCTTTGATATACAAAAACTGCCAATGTTATGTGGCTTAACTTAATTCTCAGCTGCATATGTATTTGATTTGTGCATCAAGTGTAAGCAACCTGAATGTACTGGAGTATTTTTATCATAGTTAGTTCATTTATCTAAAGCACCTATCAGGCAGGATAATAAACTATAGCCACACAACAAATGTTTATTACATTTTAATGAATAAGGGAAATGCTCTCCGAATTTAATGCATTTAAAGTAAGTTTATAAAGAAAGTGCTGCTCTCCTACTTCTGGGTTGTAGCCCAGGGAAAGCCAAACAACACATTTCCAAAAAGCACTGTTGTGTGTTTTGTCTTGTTTGATAGTTTGAATTTTGTCTATACAATGGCAAATGATCATGTGTATGTTCTGAGGTGTCATCCCAGGTTAAAACTGAAACAATTATGCCTATAGAATTTCTATTGCTTTTACATCTCCTATACACTACACATGGAAACCATTCCAGTCCTGCCAATAACAAATATGTGAGTCTCTCCATTTAAATATTTACAATTTATGGGCTAGCATATTACCTTCAAAAGAACAACTGAAACATCCTGTGACTAAGGGTGGGAATCAGGACATGGTTATCTCTAGGGAGATGTAATACCCAGGGCGGTGTGGTTTAAGAAACTAGAAATCACTCAGAAATGCCCCCACACTTATACTTGTAAAGATACCAATATTATATTTCTGAAAAATGATACTTGCACTATTCTAGCCTGTTCTCTCTAAGCAAAAGAACCTCTCCAAGCTTCCAGTAGGGTTTGTTCAGGATGGGAGGCCCCAGCCTGCAATCCAGCTCCAACACACCCGCAGGACACAGGGATTCTGGCACTGGGGCAGCAGCACCAGGACTTCTATTATGTGGACTGGAATACCAGAGAAACAACAAAGGCCACTGTGTCTGGGCTGTTGGTTTGTTACATGGACCATTCTCTGTAATCCTCACAACAGCATTGCCTGACAAATATTGTCCTCCATATTTTACAGGTAGGAAAACTGCCTCAGAGAAAGTAGTTTGTCAGCAGCACTTACTGGACTCCAGATCTCACTCTGCAAAGCCCATGGCCCACTGCCTCACTGTGCTGCCACTGAGGCAGCTGTGCATTCCACCAACACCCCAACGTGCTTGCTCTGTGCCTGACATTGCATTAGGCCTGGTGCATTGGCCTCATGAAGCTTAGTGAGGAAGACACGTAAACAAATACCCTCCCAAGAATGTATTGTCAAAGTACCGGGAAAACCAGACAAGGTAAGTGGACAGGTAGGCTGTTTGAGGAAGGCCACCATGGGAAGGCACCACCTGAACAGAGCTCTGGATAAAGTAAGGGAGTGAGAGGCCCAGATCCCAGAGGGAGCTCTGAGTAGCAAGGAAAAAGCCTTCAGGTCTACCTGGAAATGCCTAGAAATGGCCCAGCTGCTGGCTGTCAGTCAAACTGCTTCCTGTCAACTTACTTTCAATCAGATTCTGTTCCACTGAACCACCGGAAGCTCATCAGGTTACTCACCTGAAACCGTCCCCCCATACTGCAAACACCCTGGGAAGGTACCTGGGGGAGGGAGGGCGAGGAAAACCACTGAGGTCAGCCTCCACTTCTTATCTGTGTCCAGCCATTTTCACTGTGGTTGAGCTGAATCCAGTTCTCCAAGCCGTCACTGCTCTCAGAAACTGGAAAGGGCTTGAAGGCTCCCTCGGATCTCTGCTCTAGAAGGGCGGGGGGTGGGAACCCACCTCAGGAATGAGCTTGATTAGACAGAGAACCTTCCATGGAACAAGCAGTGAAAGAGGACGCTGTCTTGTGGACCTTCGTTCCTCCCTCAGGAGCTTCACTGGCTTACAGAGCCAAGGGGACTGCAGGTCACTGTCGCTACAGTGGACCCCATTCATGCTTTCTGCTCAAATAGTGACCCCAGGCCTTCTGGGGAGATTTTTGTGCGTGTGTGTGATTTTTTTCAAATTTATTTATTAACAAGGAACTGGGGTACAAGCCAGAGGTGCAGGGCCACTGAGAGGCTTCACTGGAAATGGAGTGGAGAGCAAACCGGGCAGATCGATGAAGTACACTGCTGAGGGGAGCAGCGGGCTGGTCAGGAGAGGTCTGCCGCACCCTGTGGATCACCTCCGGGGCAGGGGATTGAACTTGCACTGAGGCAGCTGCAGCCAGCTTGCAGTGTTGCATCCTAACCCATTGGGCCACCAGGGAGGGCCCGTCTGGGCAGAATATAAAAACCAATAAGATATGTCAACGGTCAATGGTCAATTTTTGATCTAGCGGAGGATGGACAACAGGCCTGCAATGGTAAATGTTGGGGAGGTGTGTGGTCTAAGCAAGTATAGAAGAACACAGGAAACTGCTTTTATTAAAGAGATGAAATTTGACACTCTGTAAAGTATCTGGCACTTAACAAGCAGTAACTTTTAGCTGTTACTATTATCAGGATTCACTTCCCATAGGAAACAGAATTTGAGGCAAGATAGATTATAGAGTGATTGTCAGGATGCCCAGTTACATATGCATTTCAGATAAAAACAGAACAAAACTATGCAAAAGTATGATCCAAAAATTTGCGTGGGATAAAACTTTACATTGTGTATTTGTCATCTGAAATTAACGTTTAACTGGGCATCCTGATTTTTCATTTGCAAAATCTAGCATGTCTTAGCTAAGGAAAATGTGATGGACATGAAGAACAGGGAAAGTGAATGAGAATGTCCAAAGACATAGACAAGGGAAAGAAATGGTGTTTTCTGCAGTGTGTCCTGGAATCCAAAAACCGATAATACAGAGGGTTACACTTATTGTGTATGACTAGTGCTCTAAGGGTTTCACAAGGATTAACTCATTTATTCTTCACAACAAAGTGTGGTAGATTATCATTATCCCCATTTTAAATGGAAGAGACCTGAAACACAAAGAGGTCATTTGCCCAAAAGCACAGAGCTGGGAAAATGGTGTTGTGGGATGCTGAACCTCTGTTTGGCTCCCAGGGCTTCTGTCTTGACATTTTGAATAGAGAGGAGTATTCAACAATCGTTCCAAGTAAGTTTGTAAAAGGTCTTTAGGGTCAACCCATCCCTGAGGTCCTATTTTAAAAATCAGCCCATCCAACCATAATTCTGACACAAAGTGGCAATCATCACACTTCTGCTTCACAAAGAGCTCCAGTCAGCTTCCTCAGTCACTCTCCACATTGCTCCCTGTGCTCAAGTAGGCTACATCGTCTGTGTTCCTGAGTGTTTCCAAAGTCCCCCTATTTCCTGGAATGTGGGCTATTTCCCCAAACTGCTGCTACTTTGCAACAGTTTATCGGAAGCAAACAAGCCACAGCAAAATTGAGCAAGCATTTCCGAGCTCAAACCTTACAGAGGAGCAAGGGATGCTGTAAGCCTGTTGATTGCCCAGCCAGGACAAAGGTAATGATTAATGAAGCCTCCTGCAGATTTAAAGGGGATGAGAACGCCGTGGGGAGGTGATCCTTTCAGCTCCAGCGCTCCTCCGGAGCCAGCTCCACTGGCAAAGATGTTTTCCGCGAGGATCTTCTGCCTGGTCCTGAGTGTGGTGGGCACAGTTTGGGTATGGCCGCCTCCATTTTGTTATTTGTCCATGATAAGCTGAATAGTGGTTTCAGATAGTTTTCCTGAAAGATTGCTTTCACATTTCAATAATTACTTGCACATTAGTTGTCTTTGAAAACATACTCTATAGCAAATTCAGAAGGAATCGATTAATAAAGCAAGGTACTTTGGGGGAACAATTGTATTCCCTTAAAAATAATTACTAAATAGTGCAATGATGTCTAATCTTTGACAACAGAGGCCTATAGAAGAGGAACTGTTCAACAAGGCTCTGAAACACTCCAGACTTATAAAAAGATGATAAGTATGTTCAGGAAACTCAGTTATTTCTTGGTTATTTATCAAAGCAGTGATTTATTTTCATTTATTTCTTACCCATCATGATTCAGAAATTCTAATGCAAGAGAGTAAACAAACAAACAAACAAAAATCAAAAGAGGGTTTCTAAGTTAACTTTATCCCTTCTGGTAAAGTAATACATTAAAACGTTTATGGGCAATGAAACTAACATCAGTTGCTAAAGTGGTATTTGGATGATGCATAAGTTTTAATTATATCTCCTTCACTGCCACATTTAGTTATTGCTTGTTTTTATTGTGTCGTTTTATTCTGAAGTATGTTGAATTTAGTGTTTTATGACTTAGACAAAAAATTATATTTGTTCTTTTAAATATATTGCTGGTTGCTTGAATTATTATCATTGTTTAAGTTTTTAATTAGAATGAGACGCAAATCTTAACGAATTATAATAATAAGCTTCCTGAAATTAAAGCAATCACAGCAACATACACTTAAGTTGGTGGCATAAAATTTAAAAAGTTAACATGTAAAACCCACATTGATTTATTACAATATAAGGCTTATTGGAAGCATATTTTTATATTCTTTTTCACCTCATATATCACATTCTAAAGTTTAAAACATTGAAATCTATACTTGTAATTATAACATGCTCAAAATAAGTGGCTAATCATGAGTTATATTTTGCTTCCCATTTACTTTTTTTATTTCAAATAAAAATAAATTGTTAAATGAAAGAGCAACCTAATATGCATTTCCAAGTCTGAATCAAGTATATTTGTGTCATTGGTATATATTTGCTTAAACTGTGGGCTTATAAAGTTGTTGTTGAAACTTGAAGGATAGATGTCTGGTTAAGCTAAGATAGCATGCACTTTCTACCTGTTACTGAAACAGGAATAATAGGGGAAGGAACTCTGAATTTTTCAATTCCCTCCTCTCTTGAAACATTAATAAACATGAAAAGGTAAATTTTAATAATTTTGCTGATTCAAAATATTGTTTATATAACCAATTTTTTCATGCATCGACCATTGACTAAATACTTGTTCATTATCAAACACAGTTAAGCAATTTGTAAATCTCATGTCCTTTAATTCTTGCAATAACTCCATTCAGTGGGTGCTGGCATTATCCTGGGAAGAAGCCTGAGGGATGCTGGGAGTGCCCCCAAAGATAGTGCTCATCCACTCTGCCAACGCCCTCCATATGCTTGGGGTTTAAAGAAGCCAGTGCCCCCTTAACTGCCTAACACCACTCTCTTGTGTCCATGACTGAATGTTACAGGCTGCAGAAGGAGTTGAAGGTGACTTTCTAGCTGAAGGTGGAGGTGTGCGTGGCCCAAGAGTCTCAGAGAAACTGGCATCTTCCTGTAAAGATGCTGACTGGCCCTTCTGCTCGGATGATGACTGGGTGAGCAGTGGGTGGGGTGTGGGACCACCCTTTCCTCCTGGGGTCACCTCCCTGCGGTGCTACAAGTACATCTAGGCTAATCAGGAGGGCACGGAGCCTTTGCCAGTGTGTGGAGGGGGGTGGTGGTAAACAGATAGCTCCTTACTTGTCAGCCTAGACAGGACAGACAGAGGAAAACCTAGTCCTGAAGTACTACTGAAATCACTCCCCAAAGTCTGGATCATTAATGAAAGTAACTTGCTGTTGAGACAAATACTAGGAACCTAAGAATTATGAAACTCAAAATTTCATACCACCTAATTTATAGTTAAGTGGTCCCTTGTTCCTGAATTTCTTTATGGTTTCCAATCAGTTCTCTTAAGCTACTTTTAAGTCAATAGATAATTTGAAGAGGTGCAGGGCGGGGATGGGAGAGGGGGAGGGGAGGCAAGTTTAGGGAGGAAAGGGGAAGCCTTCAAAATTGTATTGGATCCAAGAGACACACCCTTAATGCAATTTTTCCTTTGTTTTCAGAGCTCCAAATGCCCTTCTGGCTGCAGGATGAAAGGGTTGATTGATGAAGTCAATCAAGATTTTACAAACAGAATAAAGAAGCTACAAAATTCAATGCTTGATTATCAGAAACACAACAAAGACTCGAGTTCAGTGACCAGGAATATAATGGAAATTTTGAGAGGGGATTTCGCCAATGCTAACAGTGAGTATTACACATTTAGCTTAGAATTTACAACACACAACAAGAACAGCAAAAACAATCCTAAATAAACATGCGTGGATTCACTCAGCCATGGGCAGCAAGGCCAGTGAGGCCCCACTTACATGACCCCTGGCCTTTTTAATAATTTTAGGAGACACTTACCTAATTTATTGCCATCAGTGCACATGAGACAATCTATTTACCTAAAAAAGGCTTTGGGGCTCTTTCAAATGTATAGAGAAGAAGAAAAACTGCTCCAAGAATATGTTCAAGCCCTTTGATGAAGGATACAATCAAATAATTGTAATGTGATCAAATTTATTTTTATCTCTAATTACACCTTTCAAATTCTGAGGTGTTTTCTTCTTCTGCATTTGTTTGGTGCCTAGTGGGTATCTAGGTTGATATCAGGAGTGACAGTCAGCATAACATTCTCCAAAATACAATGTGTAATCACTTACAAATTAAGTATCCAAAGAGCAAAGTCTTATCAAAATAAAATGGGGTAATATTTAGAGGAAATTTTCTTTTTTTGTTGGTTATGACAAACAAACCATGCAGTTGCTACTTTGCCATCCACATTTTCTATTTCAGATCGTGATAGTGCATATGGCCAAGTGTCACATGACCTGAGAAGCAGAATTGAGACTTTGAAGCAAAAAGTCACAGAACAAGTGCAACAGATTAACCTTCTGCAGAAAAATGTTAGAGCTCAGTTGATAGACATGAAACGATTAGAGGTGAGTACATAATGTGGCTCTCACACCAGATTCCTTATTTCTAAATAGCAGAGAAAAAGGCAATAGTCTGTCACTGAGTGTCTACCGCAGACAGTAGAGCAAAGCGCTTTATGTGTGTTACCTGCCTGTGTAGTGTATATGATTTCCTCCACTCTAAAGATAAAAAAGCTCTGTGATATTAAGTCAGTTTTCTAATGACACATAGATAATAACATTGAAAAGCAAATGTTCAGTCCCTGCTTTGCTTATGCCAAACCTCTGATACCTGTCTCAAGTATTTGCCCACAGGTCTACTGAGGCTTATTTGATTAATATTTCCTTTCAGGAGTAATAGCCCCTTGTACTTGATGTATTCTAAGAAGAATCCGAATGGGTTTTATGGCTTAGCCTATCTAGCTTTAATACCCAACATTTCTCCCACTGAGGATGCTACCTAAATGGAAAATAAAAAGTATTGGTTGGCAGGTCTTCAAGTCAAAAACTCAATTCATTTCCGAAAGTTAAGTGAACTCCTAAGAACTCCATAGAATTAGTTGATAATTCATATCTACCTTCCTAAGAAATCAGTGGACCTAATTTATATACTTAATATCTATCTTTTCTTTTTACCTTTCTCGCCCTGTCTAGGTGGACATTGACATTAAGATCCGATCTTGCAAAGGGTCATGCAGTAGGGCCCTAGCACACAAGACAGAGCTGAAGGACTACGAAAACCAGCAGAAGCAGCTGGATCAGGTTATGGCCATAGATCTGTTTCCCTCTGCGGACAGGCAGCACTTACCACTGATAAAAATGAATCCACTTCCGGAGTTGATTCCCGGAAAGTTCAAGAGCCAACTTCAGAAGGGTCCTCCAGAGTTAAAGGTGCTAATGGAAATGAAACAGATGAAAATGGAGTTAGAAGGGGTTGGACAAGATAAGCATTCTCCTGGGGACTCTGCTCATCGTGGAGTAGGAGCAGGCTCAGCCCTGGAAAGACCCAAGAACCTGGCACCTCCTAGTACTGGGAAACACAACCCAAGCAGCTCCAGGCCCACAGGTCCGGTCACTTCCATCGGGGAGAGCTCCGTCGGCAGCTCCAGGCTCGTAGGCAGCTCCAGGATCGTCGGTTATGGCAGCTCCATACGTGGGGATGGGGACTCATTGGACTACGAAAGCACTGAATCTGAAAGTGGTAGGCCAGACAGCTCAGGCCATAGAAACGTCCGGCCTGACACTGAAGACTGGGGCAGATTTGAAGAGGGAATTGAAAATGTAAGCCCTGGGACAAAGACAGAACACCACACAGGCAGGCTGACGACCTCCAAAAGTGACAAAGAGCTCCTGATCAGTAACGAGAAGGTCGTTTCTGGCGGGCCCACTACTACACGTCGCTCCTGCTCTAAGACCGTCACGAAGACTGTGATAGGGGCGGATGGCCGGAAGGAAGTGACCAAAGAAGTGGTGAACTCAGAAGATGGCTCTGACTGTGGCGATGGGAGCGACTTAGACTTGTTCCATTTAAGGCACCCGGATGAAGCAGATTTCTTCAACATTGGTTCAACTGGAAAAGTATTGTCAGATATGTTCTCATCTGATGTCAAATTCGGCAGTAAGACACAGTCTCATGGCTCAGAGTCTGACATCTTCATGGACATGGAGGGAGGTGGTTCTCATCACTTGGGTGTACCTGAGTTGCCCTCTGTGAGTAAAACGACAACTCGCAGAAAACAATCTGTAACCAGTAGGACAACAAGCCGAGGCAGCTCCTCCACGCGTGAAAGCAAAAGCTATAAAATGGTAGATGATGCTGAAGGTAAAATCCATGTGGAAGAATCGAGAGGAGCATCTACCAGCAGAGGCCATGTTAAAAGTCGCCCGGCCAGAGGTATCCACACTCCTCCTTTGGGGAAGCCTTCCCTGACCCCTTAGACTAAGTTGGTTCCTGAGGTGTGCTCCTCAGTGTCTTGTGCTCCTTTCCTGACCCTCTACCATGTTTTACTGAAATGACACCCTGGTTTGTTTTTCTCGCTAGACTGTACGTTCCGTGGGGGCAGGGACTTTGTTGTGTTCATCTCTGTATTCCCAAATGCCTAACAGTACAGAGTCATCACTCAATAAATACATGTTCAATGAATGAATGGATCCTTCTGAAACTCAATTTTGAGTTTGTTAAATCAGATTCTTTCACCATTCTAATTGTGTGCTGCTGGAATTGTCACCCACATCAGGCAACATGCTTCTAGTGTGTGTCTCAGTGGACAAGGAGTGCAGGTGAAAGCAAGTTCTATCCGTCCTGAAGGATGCTTAGATTAGCTCAGGTTACTTGCTATTAACCAGCGTTTGCAAGTAAAATTTCAAACCCATTAAGGTTAATCCTCTTCACAACTGATAGGTCTAAATGCCACTCACTCATCTAAATCCCATGCTAGTTTAAATGCAACCTTTTCCCATGGATGGGAGGAAAGGAAGCCCGTGTCTGCCTTCCTTTAATATGGGCCATGCCCAGCTTTGTAAAGTTGAATGAGAGTAACTTCTTCCAACCAGCTTAATTTTTTTTTTAGACTGTGATGATGTCCTCCAAACACATCCTTCAGGTGCCCAAAGTGGCATTTTCAGTATCGAGCTCCCGGGATCCAGTAAGCGTGTTTCTGTTTATTGCGATCAAGAGACCGGTTTGGGAGGATGGCTTTTGGTCCAGCAAAGAATGGATGGATCACTGAATTTTAACCGGACCTGGCAAGACTACAAGAGAGGTTTCGGCAGCCTGAATGACAAGGGGGAAGGGGAGTTCTGGCTAGGCAACGAGCACCTCCACTTACTCACCCAGAAGGGCTCGGCCCTGAGGGTGGAGCTGGAGGACTGGGCTGGGCACCAGGCGCTCGCGGAGTACCGCCTGCAGGTGGGCTCCGAGGCCGAAGGCTACGCCCTGCGGGTCTCCTCCTACCGCGGCTCTGCGGGCGACGCGCTGCAGGAGGGCTGGGCCGAGGAGGGTGCCCAGTACACGGCCCACGCCGGCATGCGCTTCAGCACCTTCGACAGGGACTCCGACCACTGGGAGGACAACTGTGCCCAAGTCTACGGAGGAGGCTGGTGGTACAACAGCTGCCAGGCAGCCAACCTCAACGGCATCTACTACCCCGGGGGCGCCTATGACCCCCGGAACAATAGCCCCTATGAGGTGGAGAACGGGGTGGTCTGGGCCCCCTTCAGGGGAACAGATTATTCCCTCAGGGCTGTCCGCCTCAAAATCAGACCCTTAGGGACCCACTAGGCCGAGAGCTGGCCTAGACCGGCTGCGTTCTTTGTTCAGGGACGTGAGGAAGAGAAACGTTGTCAGGTATTTCACAGTCAACTTCCAAATCCCCAGGTGCTATTTTATACTGTACTGTAGCTGATGTAGCTGAGACATACTAGTGCTTAAAAAATAAAGTGATACGATTTTTTTTTATCTTTGAAATAGCTCTGTGGGTGTTAATATTTCTGTGACAAGGCCAGAGCACAGACAGTACCTCCCGGAGGCAGAGGGACGCGGGTGTTCTGAGGTTTTGAGTTCTCTTCCCACCAGCCCAACTCACCCAAGGGAGACCATAAAGTAAAAATGATCTTTCATCCGCTCTAGTTGAAAGGTTTTAAGCCAATATTTTAAATGACAAATCACTGCATTGGACAATAGCTGACCTTTGTGCCAGAATTTGCACAATCACAAAATACATTCACCTCTTCTGTTGCTGAGGAAATTCAGGAAGGCACAAAGAAGCACAGTCAGAGAAGCACAGTCGAGTAGACAGCTACTCTCTAACTTTCCCAGTGACTGCCATAATACCAGTTCTCTCCTCCAGGGTCTAAGCAGTTTCTTGCAAAAATATATGGACAGAGTATTTGAATTTTTAAATATTTGTAGGTATTCTCTTCTAGTAAGAACCATTAACCATTTACTCTTGACAGTGTATTAAAATAGAGATCCTAGGGCTTGACCTCATTTATAGAGTCTTCATTGTAATGTAAAATATCCTTTGTCCTAGGAAGGAGGGAAGAAAAGAAGAAGGGAGAGAAGGAAAGGAGGGAGAGGGGGGAGAGGAAGAGGAGAGAGAAAGAAAGAAGGTTGAGGGGGAGGGAGAGGGAGGGAGGAAGGAGAGCAGGTGGGAGCATCAGACCTCATTTGAGTCACATATGAAGCCCCAGTGTTCCGCCATTCCCTCACATACATTCAAAGAATCTTTGATACAAAGAAGTGATGCACCTCCAATTCTTTGGACAATTTGGTAAGAACTTCTTTAGACTTAAAAGAAGTTTCATTTGTTTCAGACACTAGAACTTTGTGCTCTCTCTGCCCACCTTGTCTACACTCGTGCATGTACCTCCACAGAATTTGAGCTGGAGTAGAAAATATTTTATTTTCTGGATTTTTTAGGGAAAAAAATTCAGAAGGTGACTCTGAATGTGAAGGCCTTTCATTTCTCATTTATTTTGATGGCACTAAGTTAAGTAGAAAAGGGTAATTTCTTCTAATTTAACAGACAACAGTTAATATTACCAGAACCTCACTAATTGGAGATACAGTTTGGTTCTGAGAAATGACACCATCTCTTTTCCATTTTACATGTTCTTAACCTATTGCTCTTTTCCCTTGTTTCTGAACTTAAATTCTGCTCCTCTGACTCTCATTTGCCCAGAAGCCCACTTTAATTTGGTTTCCATTTGCTGACCACTCTCTAGAATTTGCTTTCTTTAAAGTCAACAAAAACAAACATTGCTATTCTAAATAAAAATCCTGTATTTAAGCCTCTTCCTGCTTGACCTCCTTCAACATCTGCTCGAAGCATCCCCATCCTTCCTCTTCAATCATTTTTAAAAAATCTTTCTTTTTAAAGATTTATTTATTTATGCACACAGAATTGGGGTACACAGCAGAGGTGCAGGGGCAGTGAGAGGACTCACCAGAGACAGAGCAGGGAGCAGAAAAGGCAGATGGCCAAAGTACACTGCTGAGGGGAGCAGGGGAGAGACCGGAGAGGTCTGCTGTGCCATGTGGGTCACCTCCTGGGCAGGAGATTGAATGCACACTGAGGCAGCTGTGGCCAGCTTGCAGTGCTGTGCCCCAACCCAATGCACCACCAGGGAGGGCCCACGATTTTTCCTTTTTATTAACAGCTGAGTAGTACTCCTGTAGGAATAAATTCATGTGTCCTTTGTGAGGCTTTGATCAAGGATGGACAGCATATGCAGTTGACTCTTGAAAATATGGGCTTGAATGACACAATTTCATTAACACAGATTGTTTTTAAATCAAAGTATTGGAAAATATTTTGGAATTTTACAATTTGAAAAAACATACAGCTGAACCACAGTGGTTTACTTCTTACCATACAATCTGTACAATCTGTAAGATTTTTCTAACCATCATGTCTGAAAATAAGGAGATAGCTACCACGACTACTCTGTAACGTAATTTCTTTTCATCATCCACTGGGGACAAGCTGGCTAAGACCTTAAGAAAGGGAATAGCATGACAAGGAATTTATCCCTGGGAAAGAGAATCAAATTAACTCTTCCACCAGAGATGAATATGGTGTTATCCATTTCTACATAGAAAAAGCAGCATTTAAAAACCACAGAGGCAAGAAGTTTTAAGAGTATCTGCAGCATTTGAATTTAGAAATGCTCTGCTATAAAATAATGGCCTCTCTATTCATGAGTCCATTGCTCAAAGTGGCTACATGTTGATTGCAACAGAACACTCTGGAAAATATTTGCTAATTCTACCTTTGACTTTATCTATAATAGGTCTATGACCTCAAGGTTGCAAGTCTACATAAGCTATTGCAAAATGGCATTGAAAGTATCATCTTTGGAGAGATAAAGCAAATGAAGCAAACACTTGGTGGTGAATCTAGGTGAAGGACATGGAGGTATTCATTAAACTATTCTTGCAATTTCTCTGTAGGACTAAAATTTTCAAAGTAAGTTTTGGAGAAACAATTTAATTCATTCACAAAACAAAAAATATATGGTCTATGCTTGTCACATCTTGCTGAGGAGAAAAAGAGGAAAACCAATGTTGATACTGTTGCCACTAGTTAAGATCACTTGTGGTATGTCGTTCTTCTGATCTAATCATCTAGGGGGTAAAAAATGAAAAAAAAAAAAAAACAGGGGATAATATTATGTTCCCAAATACTATTGGCATGTATAAGGAATGGTTAAGAATACATATAGAAGGTGATTATGCAAATAGAAAATCAGAAAAAGAACATGAAAAGATATTCAAATTGTACTAAGCATTTGAAAATCTCTTACTTGCACTTAAAGTAATCAAACATTTGGCAAATCTAGTAATTAAAGAGCAGAAGATCAAAGCAATTGTAAATATTTTGATCATAATATTCAACATTTGTTAGGCAGAAATAAAAAAAAAGCAAATACCTGTAATTCTGTGTACAAGGGTAAATTGACACAGTCTCTTTGTGAAGTTATTTAGCAATATTAAAAAAAAAACACTTAAAATGCCAAAGCCTTTTATTTCCTCTAGAAATTCTGCACCCAGAAGAAAATAGAAAACAAAGTGTATTGTATGTAATATAAAACATATATGCAAAAGAGATTATGATGAAGGATTATTAGAAAGAGTTCAGAAAAATCTAAAACATCAAATGATAGGAACTTCCTTTAAAGATTAGAGAACATTCACATGAGGCATGGAAGTTTTTATAACAGCATGTTAAGTAACGTGTGACACATTCTGGTCCTAAAATGTATGCAGGACAGTGATGAAAGCCCCAAATCAGATATTAGTTGTTTCCCTGATGGTCTTAAAATTGAGTTGTTCTCATTTTCCCCCAAAGTGTTTATAAATGTATTTCTTTCATTATTTAAACTACAATTAATGTCCTTAACATAAACAGAAAATCTTCCATCGGCCATAGTTATGTGCTGGCTTACTGAAAATTGGTGCAGAGTTCCTAGAGTGGAAGTTTGGGCAGTGAGCATCACACACCCACCATAAGTAAGGGGAGAATGGAACTCAGGAACTAGAGTTTCAACTCTAGGTACAAATGACATATTCTAACTTAGGGGAAACATCTTTTTATATAGATTCAAAAGAGTGGTGCTCCAATAGGCAAAGTCAGCTATGTAGTCTTCCTTATGAAAGATAAATATACATATAGCTTGCACGCATTTCTTAGCCAATGACACCTCACAAGGGCTTATTTATTTCTACATAGACTTACATATCACATACCCCCCATCTTTGTGTTTCTGCTACTTGTACATTAATAATTGGCCATAGGTCATCTACTTTACTAATGTCTAGTTTAGGTTCCAGATTCCTGACATCCTCTGTGAGTGTGCAAGTGGGCTGAGAGTGATGCCGTCTTTGGATCAGGCTCCTTCCATCTCTCCACCCTTGAGTCAGTGGACTTTTACTACACCCACTCTTGCCATAAAAGTCCTACTTTCGGGCCCTCCCCTGGTGGCGCAATGAGTCCGGTCACAGCACTGCAAGCTAGCTGCAGCTGCTTCAGGGAGAGTTCGGCTTGGGAGTGAACCCACATGGTGCAGCAGCCCTCCCTTGTCTCGCCGCTACTCCCCTCAGCAGTGTATTTCATTAATCTCTCTGGTCTCCTCCCCGCTCTGTCTCTGGTGAAGCTTCTCACCACCCCTGCACCTCTGTCCTGAACCCCAGTTCTGTATGCATAAATAAATAGATCTTTTTAAAAAAAAAAGTTTTACTTTCCAGTATTTTGCGTATTGAAACTGTGAATCTTTATTGAAAAATGGGTTTTAAAGAAGGACTATCAAAAAAAAAAAGGACTATCCAAGATCTTGATAATCATAGACTTAGTCGTGTAACTTTTGTGAATTTATGAAAATCAGTCTTTCTGACAGGTTGAAGATTCTGTAGTCAAAGATGAATTCAGAGCTCATTAGTGAAGAAGAAAGGTGTGCAAAGCAGATAACTGAAAGTGAGGCTTGAGAATGAACAGCAACTTGTCAAATCGTTTGGGAACAGTGTTGACAATGAGAGTATCCTACCGAAGGGTCTGGCCAAGTCCTGGAGTGGCAATAAAGTTCATCGCGATGAAACATCGGATGTATAGTGTGAGGGTGGGGGCGAGGGGGCAGGAGACAGTGCTAGGACCGAGCGGCACACCATTTTCATCCCCATCTAAGGAATTTGGATTTTAATATTTAGATAACAAGAAGCCAATGGTATTCAGGAAAATAGCATAGCTTGCATTTTCTGTTTTCAGGACAATATATATGATGGCAGATGACATCTAGGTAGGGTAGAACTGAACTTATGGCAAGAAAACCAGGTGAAAAGCTGAAGCTGGACTTAATAAGGAATTGCAAGATCGACATTTTCATGATAGAAAAGAATAAGCTTTGCTTAGAAGCAAAGGGTAAGGGCTGAGCTTCAGTACTCTCTGTTTCCACAGACACCAGTGGCCAAGATACTACATTCAGGAAGGAGGACCTTGGGTTAGGGTTGCCCAGAAGAGCTGAAGTGAAGGGATTGGAGAACAAATTAAAGGAAGAGAAATATTCAGTTGATGGGAAGAAGCAGAAAGAACAGAAGACTTCATCTTCATGAGTTCTGGTGTGACTGTGAAAACCTAAATAAAGCCCTGGAGGCCAGCCAGCCTGACCTCAGGGCAGAGGCTGCCGCTGCCTTCAACCTCACTTCTTCCCTCAAGCAACAAATGACAGAGACTTCCTGGCTGTTCTGGGGAAATCTCTGACCCCAAAGTCTGGCTAAGTGGCAGAACAGCAGTTTTACCACCCGTAAGATTTTGAATCCTGGTTTAGTTCCAGTTTACTAGATACCTGAGGTTTGGAACGGTTCTCTTTTCTTACAAGTTCCAAGCCGAACTCATGGACCATGTGGATTATGAAATAAGAAAACGCTAATTCATTGTAACAGAGACTGGTTTAATTCACAACTCTTGTTCAAAGTTTTTGTGACAAATCTTACATAAATAAATAGACTTAAAAAGTGGACTTTTAAACACCAGATTTTCGTTTACCTCACAGATTTGCTATAGCAAGGACAGAAATCGCTTCCTAATTGGGAACTACTCCTACTCAGCTGGAATTGACGTTGTGAACACCGTCCACAACAATCTTTTCAGTTACTTCATGGTGAGCAACAGCAATGAACAGTACAAAAGAAAATGGTGAGTATTTTTAATTTCAGTTCTCCTCAATGGCTTTTCCAGAGTCACACTCACAATGTTTTGACAGTTTGGGGGGATATAAGGTATGAAGAAAATTCCAGTGACATAATATACAAAAATGTTGTTACATATAGAAGAATAAAAACCTATGTGGGGGTGGGAAGGGGGCTACTGCTGCGGAAAGAAGGGCCTGATCTTCATGGAGATCTTCTTCATGGAGAACCAGGAGCCCTTCCAGTTCATCCACACCAGGCCGTCATCTGTGCCGTGTTTGGACATATCCCAGCTGTAATGCCCGCCCCAGTAGTACCTGCCGTTTGGGTTGGCTGCGTGGCACCGGTTGTACCACCATCCACCACCATCCTCTCTAGAACACTGCTTTTTGGGGTCTGCAGTTACCCTGAAAGGAGACGTGATTGGGTTATTGGACTGAGTGCTGTCAAGCTTTTTCTTTGCAAAGTACTAAGAGGGACTTGCTGTGTGTGTGGGGGGGGGGGTTGTTCCCCCCCCCTCCCCTGCCCCAAGCAAGGCCACGTGACCAGATGAGCTGTCTTCTCTGCCCAGAATACAAGGGAGAGAACTGGACCTAAGTGGCAAAACACCTAGAATTAAATGTGCTACTTGATACTGAAATGATAGCTTTTAAATCCCTTGATATTAGAGAAACCTGGGAAACAAAGGGAAGCTTTACTATACACGTTAGGATATTGGGTTACGGAAATTTGCCTGAAAAACACTACTCACAAAGCAGCCTAGTCCCAGCCCTCCCTTTTATGGTTTTCTGGCTTTGAGTAGTCTCTCTAGACTTCATTTTAGAGTGAGAAGAAGAGGAAAAAAGGCGACCTGAAAGGCTTTCTGGTCGTACCTAAAGCGCTGAGACCAGTGGACCGACATGCAGCCAGTGCCGGGAAATGAACCCTGCTAATATCATGTGCTGTCACTGATGACTCCAAGTAACAATAGTACTAGTGGCTTTGAAAAGAGGCAGCAGGCAAGGCCTCCCTGGTGGCCTAGGGGGTTAGTCTCAGCGCCCTCACCCCTATGGCCTGGGTTCGATCCCCTGGCAGGGAGGTGGCCCACATGGCGCGGCAGACCTCTCCTGTCTCCCCTCGGCTCCCCTCAGCAGTGTACTTCGTCAATCTGCCTGTTTTGTTCCTCACTCTGTCTCTGGTGAATCCTCTCACGCCCACACTTCTGGCCTACACCCTGTTCTTCTATGCAAAAGGATGATAATAATAATATAAAAAGTAACACGGGCAGGAGGCAGGAGGCAGGCTCACCAGCCGTCGTTGTCTCTGTCATATGTGCTGAAGAACATGCCGTTGTGAATGGTCATCGTTCTGTTTTCTCCCACCAGCTGAGAAGCGCCCTCCATCAGGGCGTTGCCGGCTGTACCCTTGTACTTGTTCACGGAGAGCTGGTACTTGTTGGCCTCATTCTGCACGGTGAAGCCTCCGTAGTGCGCCTTCACCTTGTCACCTTTCCAGTCCTCCATTTCGATCAAAAGTTCTGTGGGGCCCAAGTTGGTAAGCTGGCTGATTTTATCATTTCCAAGCCAGTACTCACCTACAAGGAAAATAAAATAAAATTTCACCAAAACATTTTGAAACCCCTTGGAAGATAAAAAGCGCCCTCTTTCCCTTATCTCTAGTCTTCACTTTTTGTAAATGCTTCATCTCCTAGAACGCCTCAAACCGATTCCCACATTAGGTTTTCCAAGTGGAAACCCCCATTCTAAATAGCATGATTTTATTTTGCACTTTTTAAAGTTTTTACCTGGTAAGCCACAGTAATTTTTTTCTTCTGCATTGGTTGCAATATTTCCAAATCCTCGTTTATATGGTTCCCATTTCCGGCCAAAGTCAACACTGCCATCTTGGCGGTTCTGGATTACTGTCCATCCTTTGGTGAAATACACAAAACAGCACATATTAACCAATAAGAAGTACCATCTGACAGAGAATGTCTCAACTCTTTGCCCACTTAATCCATGCCATGTCCGCCTGTATTTAGTGCTCCAAAATGGATATAATAAGGAAATAAGTGAGAGGAAAGGTTTTTTTGATAGCAAGATAGCAAATGACTTTTATTTTTGTGTGTGTGATCAAATAGCGTGAGCCTTTCAACAGGGAAAGATTATATATGATATTGCTAACAACCTCAATAAAGATACTACAAAACTCTTCAAATCTTTGGAAACTACAAAGATTTACCTTATATCCCCCCCAAATTGTGATGCATAGATATTTTATAACTTAAAACATCACCTTAATTTCCAAATCAAATGGCATATTGTTAATTATGTTAATACGAGGGTGTGTTTCCTGGCAATCTGTGGCAGCATAATTACAGAACAACATCAATCAGATACTAACCTCCATTTTCTGTGTTCATGTCACAGTACACTCTGTATGGTCTGGTGGATATGTCAGGCTGAATGAGGTACATTTCAGATGTTTCGCCTCCATTCCTGATAATTTCCTCGCATTCTGTAATAAGACAACACCATATTCAGATACCTACAAGCTAGTGACTTGATCTTTAGTCACAAATTTCCTAAGATAACCACTTACAGAGGGGACCGAGGAATGTTTTATTTTAAACACTTGAACATAAATCATACACCTCGAATCTTCTTCTTCTTCTTTTTTAAACTGAAAACTAAGCTCAGTTTGGAGAAGTTTTATCTGTCACAGAGATAAAATCTTTTGTGTGCTGGGATCCTCATGAGTTGCCAGACACTGGAATGGAGAAACTCCTCCGCCTACTTGGGTTTCTGCTATGGAAAAAGGCAACTGTGGACAGTGCCACCCTGTGCACCCCAACATTGCTCATCAAAACATTCTGTTCATCAAAACTGGCAAATGCATTAAACTAAGTCAGACACAACACTCTGGGGGGATTTTCATGATGTGCTTCATGATATTAGGGTCTTAAATTTCCTCTTACTTTGAGACAGTGTGAGTTCTTCTGGCTATCCCCCTATCAAGTCATGTCAATTAGCTCGTTACCTCTTCCAGACACCACGGGGATGTTGCAGCTGACAGTGCATGGTGTGCGGCAGTAATCTATCTGGGTTGACACATCAGATTCTAATATTTGTATTTTGCTTCTTATGGTTTCCAGGATTGAGCGGAGCACCCGAAGGTTAGTTGGGATATTACTATTCACAGTCTCATCTATATACAAGCGATGATTTTCCAGCACAGAGGAGAACTCATTTATTACATTTTCATTTTCTGAAAAAATTAAATTAGGTAGGAAAAGTTAATATTTTATCCTCATAAAAAAAACAATATATTCAACTATATGATTGTGATTTTTATTCTCTGAGCTCTCAGCTACCATGAGGGAAATTAGCAAGCAGCTGCACTGAAGGGAAACTGTTTGGCCATGGCATCATCAAATTAACAAATAGTCGAGCTACTTCATTAGATTGTGCCTTAGATGTAGGCACAATAAAATTTACGCCCAATAAAAAGACAATAGACAGGTTTTTTTGGTGTGGGAAAGAGGCAAAAACAGCATTTAGACCTTCATTCAGAAACTTAACATCTTAGGAGATGGATACACTTGATTTTTCTCTCTCCCATCGAAGTAGAGCAGAAGGGTGTCTTTCTTGAAATTTATAAGAAAGACACCATCCTTCTACAAGGAAGGCTCCATTTTATGCCACTGAGGTGCCACACCAGCGCTTACAGGCACCTCACAACCCGGCCAGTAGCCCTCAGCGTGCACGCCTCAGGCTTTAAAGTCTCAGCTGTATCGTTATCTGCTTTGCAACTGAGTGTAGCAAACCACAAAATGCTAAACCCACAAATGTCAATTTTAACTTGACAAATAATATCATTGAGTTATAAGTTTCTTAAGAACTGAATATAGAATCATTGTGAAATTTTCACTGAAAAGTATCCTTGCATTCCTGCTGACTTCACACTGAAAGTTGAGCTGGTAATGCTTCTCGGGCAAGTTGCAAGTGCCAACGTAAGGAAGGACCTTGGGGGTGAGCAGGCTCATACTGAGAGAAGTACAAATATTATTTAAGTGAATGTAAACATACTAATCTTCTTATAATCACGCATGCCCATGACCGTGTAACAGTTCTAATTTTATACAGGATTCAAGTCGAAAATACATGGATATCTACCTTTCATTTGCTTCTCTCTCTGTTTCCACATTTCTCTTAGTAAAGTGATATACTCGTGGTTGTGAGAAGAGGTCTGGGAGACAGACCCCACATTACTGTTTAACTCATTGAGACTGTTTTTGATTGGTCTTTCCTGTCTGACCAAAGTGTCTTGCAGCTGACATCCTGTAGGACATAACACTCCCTGTGAACAAAGAAAATAGCAGGCACTGGATGAAGAAGTTGAGTTATGGCTATCTGTGAAAATATAACACAGTGGACATTCGATGAAATCATTAACCAATGTGGATGGACCTGGAAGGGATCATGCTTAGTGAAATAACCCAGAGAGAAAGAAAAATACCGGATGGTTTCACTCATAGCAGGAGCATAAGGGATCAGGGAAATAAAAAGAGAGAGAGAGAAATAAATGTAATAGAGCAAAAATGAAAACAATGAACAACTATAAACCAGAGACATTTTATGGGGGTGAGAGGGGGAATGGCATCCGAACTGGGGTGGGAAGAGTACACTGGACTGTGGTGATGGCACAAGGGTGAATTGGTGATGGGAGGCCCATGGGAGGACAGCTGAGATGGAAAAATGCACAACATGAAGAATGATGTAAAATAAATAAATAAATAAATAAATAAAAAAGAAATCATTAACCAAGCGAAAAACTTTGATTTTCTTTGGGTGAGACCAGAAATTCTAGACTCATCACCGTATTCCTACAAAGGTTAAAAAGTAGAATAAATGTAATTAGGTGAACCATTTTATCCAAAAATGGACAAACTACCCAAGTAAAAGCATCACCCAGATATCTTAAGTGTAATCTTGGGACCAGAAGAGAGAAACTAGAAAGCAACCCTTAACCACAGCCCAGTGAGTTTAGGGTTTGTATCTTACTTCTAACATAAGTAAATGAACAGGCTACTGTGGGTCATGACACCAGGGAAAGCCACGCTCTGCCTGGGTGATCCGTCCTGGGGGGAAACCCCGAGCACCCACCAGGTCTGGGTCAGCATGAAGACAGCCCCCGGCATCTGGGGCCTTTCTCTCCACTTTCTTCTGGCTGGCAGCTGTTTTGGCAGGACGAGCCCGGTAGCCACCTCCACTGATTGGCGCAGGAGCAGGTCTCAGGCTGGGAATATCTTCCTTCCTGTCAAGGGGCCGATGGCTGCGGGCATCCACAACGGGCTGCAGAGAAGCAGGCAGAACAAAATGGAGGGCTATGAGAGCTGAGATAGAAGAATCCAACACCCTTGTTCAATACTTTAGTTTATCACACAATGGATGGATGATTCGCCGAAGGTTCATTACTGCCTTGTTGGTAAAACAGGTTGCTGAAATTTCTTTACTAATGGTAGCAAGAACAATTCAAAGGGTTCTTTGCTGAGATTGTTCTTCTTTGTTTATATTTATTTATGCATACAAGAAGTAGAGTACAAGCCAGAGGTATGGGGGAGGGGAGTGAGAGCATTCACCAGAGACAGAGTGGGGAGCAGAACAGGCAGATCAACTGACATACACTGCTGACGGGGGGCAGCGGGTGGGTCAGGAGAGGTCTGTGCGCCATGTGGGTCAGCTCCCTGGCTGGGTATCGAACTTGTACTACAGTGGCTGTAGACAGCTTCATAGGCCCCACGAAGGAGGGCCCTGAGGTGGTTTTTCAAGAAAGTCCTAACTTAAAGCTACATCAGTCATGACTAGGAGTGACCTCAGACTCTCATAATTATACATATTAGTACACAAAACTTGAAGGAATCTATACTATTGGAATAATAAATATTTTCAACCCACTTGAATTTCTTAATTCCTGTAATTAGTCCATTATTTCCTCACTTTTAATTTTTATGAATGGATGATTAATTTAGCTAAGTCTGTGTAATCATATTTAAGAGGTAACCCAGATTTTGTTATAAAGTAATGTGTTTAAAGAGAAATACGGGACTCCAGTACAAGGTTGCCTGGATTCAGGGCTTCGCCCTACCACTACCAGCTACAAACTGCTGGGCCAGTTACCTAGTCTGTGTTCCGTTTCCTTATCTGAAAGATAGGAACGATACTGTCTTTAATAACATCAGCCCAATAAGATTACTATAAGGATTAAAAAATTTATTTTATCTAGCAAGCTCAAGAGAGTGCCTGCCACAGAACTAGTACTTACTGTTTTATTGCAATCACGTATAAAGGAAACTCTAGTTAAGAGGCTTCTCTACTGTTAATTCCAATCTCAATCTTTTCTATTAGCAAACCTGTTAAACCATTCTCACAGGACTTACTATATGATTTCTCCATCTAGCACTAAGATTTTCCATATTTGAAAATGTTATAGTAAGAGATAATAAAATGAAAACATGTAATGTGATTAAAAGTCTTCACTTAAAGGCTCTCCCTGGTGGTGCAGGGGGTTAAAACACAACACTAGGAAGCAAAAGCCACTTCTGCATGGGTTCAATCCCCACCTGCCGGGGGGGTGACCACATGGCGTGGCAGACCTCTTCTGACCTGCCCTCTGCTCCCCTCAGCAGTGTACTTCGTCAGTCTGCCTATTCTACTTCCCACTCTGTCTCTGTTGAAGCCTCTCACCGACCCTGCACCTCTGGCCTATACCCCAGTTCTGTATGCACAAATAAATAAATCTTAAAAAAAAATACTGCCTATAGTAAAATTTCTCTTTTGAAAAGAACACTACTTCATATTTTGACATTGTGTTTGATTTATTCTGCTTTTATATTTAGCTTATTATATTTATTCATAAATACCCATAATCTTAGGAATCAAAATTACCCTCCTTTACCAAAAACCACTCCAGGTATGAGAGCTTTTTCTTCTTTTAAAATATTGTTCTTTTATGATTGTATAGTGTGCAAAACTTTCAGATTTCTCTCATAATTTTATATAACATATTGCTAGAACTAAATGAAAATCATAGAACACAGAAAAACAAGTGAGGAAGTACTTCTTACCTTACTTTCTTCATCCTGGTAAGTAAAGGTAAACCATAAAACAATAAAATACTATTTCATTTTTACGTAAGAAATACTATGTAATGTTCTACAAATAAGACAACTATGAATTAACAATCCAAATCATAGTAAAAAACAATGTAAATGTCATTAAAACAAATATCCACATGATTGATTTTATGATTTAATTGTACTTTATAGTAACATTAGTAATAATATTTTAAAAACGAGATTTTAAAAACAAAATAGTAATAATATAAAAAATTTTTAAGTCACCTCATTGTGGTCACTGGCAGCCTGGGACCTCACTATAAAAACACACAATAAGAGCAGTAATAGATGTTTCATGATTTTAAATTTTTGGAAGTTCCAAAAAAACATCCTTTGCTTGTGGAGATAACTGAGAGATCTTCAGTCTTATATAGACCTGAGTGCTCTGTAGGTATGACTTTAGAAATGGTTACCCTCCTTAGTTAATGTTTAATTTGGGGGTTCATTTGTTGGCTGAACCGTTTTATCACTTAAGCAACATCTTCCCAGCAAGACTTATTTACTTGTCATACAACTGTTCTTCACTGTTGGCTGAATTTAGAATCTCCAAAGTTCTTTAGTTAATTTCATTAGACAATATGAGGGGAAATTGAGACATTCCTAAAAGAGATGTGTATCACATATTTCCTGTAAATGAATGAGGATGTTACAAAAATTTAGGGAAAATGCATGAAGAAACAATATTTTTAACCCAACCTCTTCAAGCTGGCTTTCACAAGGCATCAGCCAACACTGTGAGCTTCCTAAAGGTGTTCTTGAAATGCTTATGTTTTGAACATTTATGTAATTCAGTTTTTAAAAGGCATCATTAAAATCAAGAATATCATTACACCATCTGTTTATTTTCTCTTTATATGTTAATCAAAAAAACAAAATTACAATTCATGCCTCATCTCGGTCAGAATTCAAAATTAAAATATCAAGTCTTCCCTTTTTGCTCTAACCACTTTTCATATTTTACCCTTTATTACTATAAATTAAAATGTTCTGTAAGTTCTAAACATTAGTAATGTACCCAGTAGATTGCAGATTCCTAAATCAAAATATTATTATGGTGATTATATACCTATTTAAAATCTTATGTTTATATCATAGCTTATATTTTCTATAATACTCTATTTTATATTGTTTATAAAACAGTGTTACTTTAACATCACTGAAGCTTTCATATGGCCATCTCAAATAGATGCCCAGACACACGAAGTGGCACATTTTCTTGCATCATTTCCTCTAAGCCGCCAAATCCATCATTATCATCTTTTCGTTTGCTTTTTGCAGTCAGGATTAACAACTCCCACAAGAATCAATAAGAATCCAAAGTCAATAGCACAGGTCCCAGGAAGTGTGTGCTTTAAAGCATTTTCTGATTTTGACATGATTTCATTGAAAAAAGAGCAGGTTGTTCAGGCAGGGCAGGAGAGAATGTTACAGACATTGAGTTACAGTGAACTTTGATAAGGACTTGAGGTCCGTTACATTTTTTCTTATCTGGTAGCATAGTTTACTTTCTCAAATTCTTTTAACAGATTTACAAAAGCAACATATTGAGTTTAAAGTAAGTAAAATCCTTGATTGGATTCTTTTAAATCTCTGTTCCACTTACTACTAGTGAGTAAACATTGTTCTTTAGTTTTAATATTTTAATTTTTTTAAGGTATATTACGCTACCTTAGAAAGCAAATATATGTTGTACATGTATTAGTTGAAATAAGATGGGAGACATCTTCCCTTTAAAATGTAACAGAAAAAAAATACTTTAATAATCTGAATAAAGCTTTATGGTAATGATGTTGGATTCTTGTTACTTAAAAGGCTATCTGTTAGCGAGACTAAAACAGACTTTTTTTTTCCTTTTTTCAGTAACATCGTATTCACATTCAGGCTCTGATATCTCATAAACTAGCAGTTGAACCACTACTTAATTTTCAGAAGTTTGTTGGGGTTTTTGTGTGTGTGTGTTTTCTAACGTATAATAATAAAACCTTTTATAACATTAAAGGAACGTTCCTTTATAGTCACACCCTTTGCTATTCTGACATTCTCCTCATCAACAGGTAGAAGGTAGAAGGAGGTAGAAGGAAACTACTAGAATGCACATTCCGTAAGAAAAGAGAATGAACATTTATTGCACACACTGTTCTTCAGAGACTCCTCTGTGACAGGTGTTGTGTGAGGGGCCGGAAAAGCACTGGGGAGCAAGACAGACCTGGCAGGCTGGTAGCCCATAAAAATTGAAAAATGAATGAGTGAACCAGCCTTCACTGAAACAGGCATCAGATGCCAAGCTTTCTGATAATCATTTAATTCTTGAAACCACTACGTTCTACAAATAACAAAACTGAGGCTCAGAGAGCTTTAGTAAACTGCCCAAGGCATACAGATTGAATGTTCTGGTACCAGGCCTTAAGCCAGAGCTGTCTACAGTAACATACAGGCTCAGAGTCCATTGCACTATATTGCCTAACAAAATGCAAACATTATAAAAAACTGGTCTGTTTCTCTTTGGTTTGGTTGTCTGGTTGTTTTCTTGGCCAGCCTATCATGTCAGTATTTTAGTGTCTCAGACCGACATATCCATCCCTGCATCTTTATTTTTAAACTTGCATACAGTATTGGTGTGGATGTTCACATCTGTGTATGGGCTGTGATCAATGCAGTGATGACAGCTGTAAGTTGCTGTAATTTAGTTGTTAGATTTTTTAAAAAATCGTTACATGTAACTATACCAACACTCTGAAGTGCTTGATATCCATGAGAAAACTACCATGTTTTCAAAGACAGTTTCCTTTTGCTAGAATACTTACATCTTTAAAATGTTGACACTATTGGTGGGGCAGGCAGGGAGTACTATTTGTTCAGTTATGTTTTCATGTCAATAGTGCAATGATCTTCATATTAGCTGATGCCCTTACACAAGTCAAGGGCTGTAAATCAGTGACAGAGAAAACAAATCACGTGTCTTGCCTTGCCGCTCTCCAGCCAGAATGGCGGGTGTGTGGTCCTCTTTAGTCAATGCAGAGTTGATACTTTTCCAATTCATGTCAAGCCCAGTCTATTGAGCACAGGCAATTTTCATTCATCAAATCTTTTCCAGTGTACCTGTTCAGGGGCTGGTCATGTGCTGGGGAACGAATATTTTGGTGAACAAGCTTTCTGTCCCCATGACGCTTTTTATTTAGAGAGGACAAAAATCAAAACTATTTATAATAACATGTACTGAGCCAAAGACAAGAAAGAGCAAGGTCTTGGGGACTGTAATTCAGGTAACTAACTTCCCTCAGCGGGAAATGGAACTAGAAAGAAAAGCTTTAGACTTATTGCTTATGGTTCGAGTTGCTGTGATTTATAACACACCCTAAGCATATGGTAGGTATTTGATAAATATTTTTGAACAAGTTTATGAATGTAGGAATAAGTGAATGAATAAATTCTGTCTATACTGATTCTTTGTCTAAGTCGACATCAATTTCGATATACCACACTGTCACTGTTAGTCTCTGTGTATTTTTCTTGTCTTTCCCTGAGCTAGCATTGGGGGAACACTATTTAAAGGGAACTTAATAGTGAAAAGCCAGTAAGCAGCTCAGGCAAGAGTTCATGGTTAAAACTGAAGCCAGTGTGGTGATCCTCAAAGGGAATGCAGGAGGCAGGCACCGTCTATGCTGCTGGGGGGAGTCACCCTCTCACTTGGAAGATGCCATTTTGGTTTTCTTAAGGGAACTGACTGAGAATATGGCTGTTTTCTTCTTTCACCCTATGCCAGTCACAAGAGCTGGAGAAAGAGGTGGTCTCCTCAATGTGTCACACTGCGACTCAGTCACCAGTCACCCACCATGTAACAAGAACCCAGAATGACCCGTAGAATGCAGGATTGGGGCTCTGGTGATCCTCTTAAGACTGTGATACCCCGATGCTCTAAGCAGCAGTAACTGAGTACAGCCTTTACCCAAGCCAGCTGACTCAGCTCTCTCCCCCACTCCAAGTTTGGAAAGGATATAAGCAGTCAGCTCTGTGGATGCGCCATTGCAGAGTTCTACAGAGAAAGACAACTGCAGCAGAGGCAGTGGGTAGATCGTGTCCAATTTTCCACATTAAGTGCATAGTGTCAGCCATAAAACTATATAAAAAACTATTTGTGTGGGCCCTCCCTGGTGGCACAGCGGGTTAAAGCACAACACAAAGAAGCTTAAATCACTTCAGCATGAGTTCTATTCCCACCTGCCCCGGAGGTGACCACATGGCGCGGCAGACCTCTCCTGACC